ATATATATATATATATATATATATAATAGCTATTATACGCACCACGAAATACTAAATCCAGATATGTCATATTTTTTATATATTCATATTTCAATTCATTATGTTTATTGAAATATTCTTTGATCTCTTGCCGTAACTTATCTTGAACTTCAGGATTTAAAGCTAATTCATAAAGTGCGTTGCTTATAGCTGACGAAGAAGTTTCAAATCCAGCAATGAAGAAAACGAATGCTTGTGCCGTTAATAAAGTATCCGTTAATTCTGTAAATTATAATTAAAAAAAAATAATAAATAAAGAAATATGAGAAATGATTGTATTTTTACAAAAATTGATATTAACTAATAATTGTGTAAAAAGATATTTTTAATAAATCTTTTGTTTTTATATTGTTTAATTATTTAATCTTGATATCATTATACATTTTTAATCGATAAAAAATATAAGATACTTACTAATATTTTCTAATTTGTCTGGATGTTTTTTAAGTTCTATAAGCATATTAACAAAATCAGGTCTCACAATGTTGTTTTCCTGTCTGTATTTCATTGTATTTACGATAATATTCGTGAGAAACGTTGTAACTTCCATTGGTGGCAATATGAAACCAAATAAATTATAAATTCGTGGGAAAATTTGTCTAAATCGAAATCTTAAGATTTGCCCAAATGAATTGGCAAATACTTTTCTACCTATTCGACGAAATTCGCTTTCTTCATCAGACAGTGCGTTCATTTCGATACCAAAAGCGCAACTACCTATTACATCTGTTGTATATTTAGCTGTTAATTCACGACATTCTATAAACTCTTCTCTTAATACCAATTTATCTAGATATTGTTCCAAATGTTTTGAACAGTCTAATATTAAGGGAAACATTTCTTTCAATTTGCCAGATGTAAATACTGGCGAAAGTCTTGTTCTTAATGGACGCCATCTTTCTACCTCCAAATTGAAGAGATGTGAAGATAATGGTTCTGCCTATAATTATTTTAAAAATCAATAAATAATTAAAGAAATATAATTTTATTGTTACAATTCAATAATATATTTGAACATGATTTAAGCTTAAAATTTAATTTTTTTAAAATATTATAATTTATTTATAATTTAATATGTGCATCTACTTGCATTTTATATATATATTTGAAATAATTTTGAATATTGATATAATAATAATATATTATAATATATAATATATAATAATAATTTAATAATTTACCTTTTCATGAATAGGAATTCCTCGGTTGGCAAACTTAGAAAAATCCCTTATTAAAACATCCTTTATAAGATCTGGATCTTGAATAATGAGTATAGGTGTTTTTCTAGTGAATATTCCGATCATAGGTTCATGTTTGTATTCCTCACAAAGTTTCTTTAAATAATGACACATAGACGTCCTCAAAAGCATTACATTTTTTATATTACCAAATATTGGTATCGGCTTTGGTCCAGGTACTCCACGAATTTTCCAAAAATCGAACGTTGAAGTAAAATAATAATAAATTGCCAGAAATAATGAAATGATTCCAAAAATAATTTCTAAACTTGCCATTCTTGTTTTATAGTTAATTTAATGAAAAAATGATGGATATAATTAAATTTTCTGCAAAATATTATTATTATTACTTCAATTTCTATAATAATTTTAAAGTATTTTAAATATAATATTATCATGAAAACTAGAATATATTAAATAATGTATTTTTTTACAATGTTTTTGTGTTGAAATTAATTTTTAACCAGAAATGAGAATAAAAAAGATAAATGAAATAGTGTTAATTAAAATATAATTTAATTTGAAATGAAAGATTTTTTATATATAGAAATTTATTGTTATACAATTTTTGAACTAATCAAATCGAATTTTTTAGACATAAAAAAATATATATGAATATTTTTATTTTTCCGAAAAATATTTTATATTGTCTATTATTAAGAAGTTTGCATTAAACTAAATAAAATAAATAAAGTGAATGGTTTCTTTATTTTGAGAACAATAAGTATTTTTCACATTGTTGAAATATTTTATAGTATCTAACTATTGTTTATTTAATTGAAATAAGGAATTTTTTATATATAAATAATAATTTATTCAATTATTATTCAATGATATTTAAAATAATGATAATCATTTGGATCTTTAAATTATTTATCATATTATTTATTATTTTTAAATACGATTTATTACACAAAAAATTAAAATAATTTTTGAGCAATAATACAATTCAGAAGGATAATATTTTTAATAACAGAATGCATATAATATTTCTTTCATTTTTATTTTATTTATATACTTTTAATCTGTCAATGAATGATATATAATTATATTATTTATATTTATATTATTTATTATTATAATTATATTATTTATAAAACAATATATTATACATATATATGCATAATGTTTATTATTAATTAAGTTCTAATAATTGATAATTCACCAATTTCAATTGTTAATTTATTTAGTGATTATAATTTCCGTATATTAAATCATAATTAATTATAACACATTTTTATTTACAATAGACATTCTTTTTTTAAAAATAATTAAATATTTTTTTTCCTTTATTTCAAAAATAATTATTATTTATTTCGAATTAATGAAACTTAAATTATCTTTCTTAATATAGATATAAAATATTTAAACTTTATTAATTAATTTGTTTAATCAAAAAAAGATCGCTAATTTGTTTAATCAAATAAGATAAAATGATAAATGACAACAAATTATTACGTTATATATATTTGATATTAAATGTATTTGATAGGTTAACGTGTATCACTTTTGTATTATTATTTTAAAATTATATATAAAGACACTTAATGATAACTATTTACGATGAATGATGATAATGAATCACACATAATACGAAATATTTTTTTATATAAGATATATGATACAAACAAAAGCTTACTGTTTTGCACGAGGTAAAAACTCAATGTATGACGCAGTTTTCTCAATGGACTACTGCAGTACAAATGTAGTAAAATAATATCTGCAAAATGAAACAGCAAAATATATAATATTATATATATATATAAAATATCATAATATCATAATACATGTTTAGAATATTAATTATATAATGAAACAATTAAATAATAAATTCTTAATTTATTTGATTTAAATAAATATGTAATCTTTATAATAAAAGTAATTAAAAATTTAATTATATAAATCAATTAAATAAAAAGATTGAAAAGAAAAATTTTATTTTTGTACAATTGATTAATGAAAAAGAATCTTATCATCAGAGTATGTAAGCAATTTAACTAATAATGATAGATTTGACTTAACGTGCAATTTCATAGATGTCGCTCTTATAAAAAAATATATCATTGGTATACTTAATTTTAATGAAATTTATAGGAAAGATAGTTTTCAAAAAAATATTTCATACATATTTTTTTTAACATCTTAAGAACTAAACGACGTAGAAAAAATTTTTTTTCAAATTGCACATTAAACTATAAATTTATAAAAATATCAAAATTTCGGCATATGTCATTTCGATATGTTCTTAATAATAAAAATAAATCTATACTACATACTAGATAACTACATAAAATTATAGTTATATAAATAGGAAAATTATACATGTATTAATATATAATGTATGTATTATTATAACTAATTATATATTATTAATTAAAAAATAAAATTTCAGAAAACAAATTTAAACTATTATTATATATTATATATTTCTTTATTATCTTTATGTATTTTTTTCATTTAATCAACAATACGTACATGTATTAATTTTATAATTATATTATTTTGTAATATACATTATATTGCATATATGTATAATGTTAAAAATTTTATATATATTATATAAACTGATATATATTTAATACTGAATATCTTTTAAAAAATATATTGTATGTTTTATTATATTTTATCAGTTAGATGTAAATATTTTACAATGTAATTATATTAACGATTATATATTAACATTAGTAATTACATATACAGAATATTATTATAACATATTATAACTATATAGAATATATACAATTGAAATTGTATAAAATATATAAAATACATAATTGGAAAAAAGAAGACGGTATAGGAAATAATACAAATATGCACAATGAAATAATATAATAGAATATTACGAAGACTAAAACAATATAATATTCAATACTTAGACTTATATATACAATTTCAAGATTCATTTTTTTTTTATATTAACATTAATTTTACTCATTTTTAAAATTTGTATTTAATGATATAATATATCTTTATTGATATAATAATAATATTATAAAGTAATATTAAAAATATTTAAAAACTTTTTTAAAA